TAATAAAATATTGATTAAAGTCTTTGAAGCAATAATTCATCTTTTATAGTGTTTGCTAGGAAAATGGCAACAACAGCAGAAACGACGGCAACAGTTGCAGTGGCACGTTCAGTGGCTCAGCCAGCCGCATTTGATGAAGAACTTGCGCAGCGAGGTTTCCATGGGGCTGCCCAGAGATGGAGCACCACTGAGGCAGACCGTTTTAAAGGATAGATAGGTAGTCGGTGTTATGTTGTGCTTCTTGCACAAATCTAGCTCATTGTGCGTGAGCAAATCGCTGCCCAGTGGCTGTGATCGACGCTTCAGCTCGTCCAGTTGGCTACGCAGAATTTGGCTCATGCTTGGCGGCTGCTGTTGCTGCTGCAGCTGTTCCTCTACCGAACTATTGCTGGCGGCGGCGGCGGGATCGCTTAGCTGCAGCTGCATTTTTAAGCCGCTTTGCAGCAGCTGCTGCTGATGTTGTGGGTTTCCCTTCGCTGCTGCTGTCGACTGTGGCAAGTTCGCCTGGGCTGCCGTCATCGTAGCCGTGGAAGTCACTGCCGTCGCTGTCATTGCCGACTCCAATGTCAGCCCCTGGCCCATGTCCGTGGTCAGCCCCATCGCCGTCGCCGTCGCCGTCCCCGTTGTCATTGTCGTCGGCAGCATCGTTGTCGTAGCTGCCGACGATGTCCGATAGCTATCCAAGTAGTTTCTGCTGGGCAATAATGCGCCGGAGCAGGTCGGGTCGCCGATGTGGTGCATGCTTCTTGGTGCGATTGAACTTGAACTTGCCTCGGCGCCGCTTAACTGTTCGCTGTGAATCGATGCAARCAAGAGAAAATTTTGATGATATGATATGATCCATGCAGGGATGTATGGGTTGACTTACGCCTTTCTGGGATTCGCTTGAGGGGAGTGCAAGGAAGAGCTTAGCGGCCGAAGACTTCCATTGTAATGATGTATGTTGTCCTGTGGTTAAACATTGTCTTATACAACCATTCAAACGCTGCGAGTTGGGCGCGTTGATAATACAAAGGAGCTGAATATCGTGAAAGTAAGACAAGAGACAGGGAGAACATTTTCATTGCGTTGCGTTGCGATTCAACTAACATAGCTAACAACCAGAGCTGGAAAATCAACAGAGCTACTCCTTCATCTAAAAATGGATCGGTTGCCAATTGGGTTTTCCAGCTCTAGCAGACACGATATTCAACTCGCCATGCATTCAAATACAAGGGACCAATCACACAAATGATATGCCACACTTACGGTCTTTCCATGGCCATATGGTCCCGTGGAGCGGTGCGTCGCCATTGCTGCATGCTGCTCAAAGTGCCGGCAATCATCGATCTTCGTGATGCCATTGTAGCGATAGCGATACAGCTCCGATTGCCTGATGCGCAGCTCCTTCTCACGCTCTAGCGAGTTTAGCAGGCGCTCGTACTCGTTGCAGGAGTAGAATTGAGCAAAGACACGAAAGCGATCGCGGAACTCCTTCTGCTCCTTGGTGAGGCCCGGATGCAGTGCATAGTTGCGATTGCGAAAGAAGTTGGCCACGAGCTGATAGTCGCGCACCATTCGTTTCCTGCGTGCCCGCTCGCGCAGTCGCCGCGTGTATATGTCTACGTGAGCTAGTTTCAGCATGACATCCACTTCCACATCCTCCGAACTGAATACAATGTTTGAGATCAACTGTTCGGCCGTTGGATCATACTCGCGCTCAAAGCTATCACGATTGGGCATGTAGCCCAGTTGCAGCGCTTCTTCATTGGTTATATCTAGAGGTGGCAGGCGGGCAAGCGCATTAGCGCCCAAGGGTCCAGTGTCATCTTCAGTGTGATCGATTAGGATGGGCCGCTGTAGTTGCGCCGGCGTCCAAGTGGCCTTGCCTATGGTTCCATTCACAAATTTATTTACATACTCCTCTTTGGCATCCTCCGCGGACTTGGTTTCAATGTGTTTGCTAATATCCTCCCAATTGCCAAAGCCATACTGCTCGATTGCATCTAGCAGGCGAATCTCTTCGCGTGCCGTCCAGGCGCCCTTTCCGCGAAATACACTCAATATGGCAGTGCCGGTGTCCATAAACTGATATGCATGACTGTTTTGATGGGCGCCAATCTCTGCGCCAGTTGCGAAGCACTGCAAAACAAAAAAATGAATAATAACGGAAAACTTCAAAACAACTTTTGTTTACGTGATCCTTCACGAAATATCGAACTTTGCGATGAGTGGAGAAATAACTGGAGACTAGTTATCCGTTAGTGGCCAATACCGATTAAATCGGTTATTCATATGATTAATTTAATTTCAGCAGATATTAATTAATTGGAATATATTTCTATACAAACTTTCTTTATGCTCACATAAACTTCAGCATCAATTTACCAGCACTTTCTATACAATGCTTAAAAACATTCAATCACACACTAGTATACATTTTTGCATATTTTGTTGCCGAGTACAGAGAACAGCTGTTTAAAAACAACATTGTGAAATCGCCCGGCTATATGTACAGTTTTAGATGCGTCAGCACAAACACATATATATGTCAGCTCTTTTCGCGTTTTGCCTGTGTCGATGTGTGTGTAAAAAGCCTATGTATGTAGGTGTATGCTACACACTCATACATACACATACATATACGTGTACTTATACTTACTTGGAGGCACAAATCAAAATTTTCGCACTCAGCACAATGTACACGTATGCCTTGGATATCATCCTGGCAATTAGTACAATTGTACTTTGTGAACAAATCCGCAATTGTAGTCATTTCGACTTTAAATAGCGTTTTTTCTTGAATAATTGAAAATGCGAAAAACGCTCTATGCTTCAGTCGCCATCTTGGCCCAACAACAGAGCTGCCATATCGTTCGAAAAACCCAGCTAACACCCTTGTCATGCTCTGGTGTGACCAGTGCTGCATTTAGTTGTCGCATCACCAGAATGCGCGCCCAATTTAAAAATCACACTTTTTTTTGGATACAATATAATATATATTTATTTAATTTCAAAAGTTTAATTCGAGTTTTGCCATTTGTCTTGTAATAATCAATTTGTTTTTACACTAATATCACACAAATAATATATAAAACTAAAATATGAGAAATTTCGCATAATATCAAACCGAAACCGAATGAAATACATATAAATACCGATTAGTCTGCGGTTAGCTTAAGCCAAACAATAACAAAAAACATTGTAAGCAATTAGCTTAATATAAATACAAATGGGGGTTACGGGAAGGAACACGTCTAAAATTAAGCAAATTTAAATAGCATTAAGTAAAAATCAATTAAAGAATGTAATGCACTAATGCGTCGAATGATGACCGATGCTTAAATCTAAAAAAAGTATTTAAATATAATTAATTATAAATATAATTATATATACGTAGATATATATGAATTGCGCTGGGCTTTCAACTTGTTGTTAGGAATTACAATGAAGCTTGCTAAATATAGAGTTATATTAAGATTGATTATTATTGATTAGTTTTGTTATATGTTGAATATGTTTTATAATATTGCTGTGTCCTTCCGAGCAGCAGCCGCTTTGGTATCTGAGGGGGACGGGGAGGACGGGGGACTCTCTTGATGAGGACTAGTTAGTGTATGGCATTTGTCGTTACTGTTGCTAGTTTGCTTAGACCATAACGAAAACAAATAATAAATAAAATAAAACAAGGCTACTATATAAGAGAACTTTAACATAAATCTTATGGCAAGTTGTTGTATAGCTGCATTTTAGAAACGCGCACTTTACAAAACATACTTTCAATTTGAATACCTAAAATCATCTAAATAAGTCTATTTGAGCGCCAAATTCGTGTTCGAGTCGCACCTGCTTGTGTGGAGCACACGGCTAGAATAATGTTTCTATTATTATCTATATAAATATGTTTTTGATACTTTGTCAAGATTCGAGATTCACAAGCGAGCAAGTTTCTGGCAGTTGTTTGCACAATTTGTCACAGTTTAATTTTCTATCTTTCTTTTAATTCGATTTTTGATTGCGAGTTTCTTGTGTTCTTGTATAAAGGAACTAACAAATACTATCCAACCACGTGCAGGCGCGACGGCAAGCGTTGTCATGTGCGACAGGCAGCAGCCCCTAATAAACTGGAGCCGGCTCCTTGTCACCGCAACGAGACTCATAAATTGTTTTCGATTATAATGTCCCGATTAAGGTTAACATAAGAAAATGCAAAAGCTTTACCTAAAACATAACTATTAACTAATTTGGTATGTAAAGTCTTTGTGTCTTTAGCCAGAATCTGATTATGATAAAAATTCCATGGGCTACAGTAACCGGCAAAGCAAACTAACAATAGCAACAACAATAAACTGCCAGTTAACTCACATGGGAAGGATTCCTTGATTTTTATGAACGGGTCACACAATGCGGCTGCTCTGCTGCTCGATTCCTGTTCCTGTTCTTCTTGTTGTCCTCTTGTGTTGTTTATTGTGAGTTGTTGTTGTCGTTGCTGTAGTGTAGATTTTGGCAAGGAAGCATCTAAACGTTGGCTAAGCATGGCTACAACTGGCGCTAAGGCCAGACGGGATCTATGTTGTGGGAGTGTGGGACTGGGACCGATGCTGGCTTGAACTTTAGTTACACGAATATGCCGCTCTGTGCATAAGTTGTGTCCAAATACATTCTGATCACAGCGACAGGCGCTGCCGTTGCTGCTGCTGCTGCATGGTTCAACTTTAGGTGTCGTTGGTGCGGTAATATTAGGTGGTTGTGGGTTAAGTTGCTTCTTGATAAAATACTTGTGGGGTTTGTTCATCTTTAGTTACGGTAGAATCTGCTTCTTGGGTTTTTTTAACTCAGCGTCTTCGTCACGCTTGACTTCAGTGTAGCGTTCGCCCTTGAGCGACACTATTTTATTATCACGATAGCGCACAAGCTTACGCGGCTCCATTTTGGGCACCACCGGCTTGTACTCCCGCTGAGTGGCATTCTTATCCACATACGAGTATCTAGGAAACAAAACAAATACAATTAGTACCAAGAAAACTGAGAAACAAAATACGATCTACCTGGCTATAATGCGATTCTTTAACTCATTGTCATCGACGACAACGTTCTTCTTCATGCCGACAGTGTGCGACTTGTCGGTCAAGCTCTGATTGGTGTCCTGGCGATGCAAGAGAATTTGTGTAGCACTATCAATGTCGCCCTTCGATATGGCAATGCAATGTTTTATCTGTCAAAATTTCAAATTTTTCATTGATAGAGGAAGGTAAAAGTTTTAAGTAAGGCTACCTTTAAAAAAGTAATCATTAAAATTGAGCAATATTCAAGAATTTGTTTCTCGTTTTGTCTTACGGGAAATACCTCCCCAGCTTAAGATCGTTTGGACTACTGACTCACCTCGACATAAGCCGTATCGGGAAACATCTCCTGCAGCACTTCGGCCTCATCCAAAAAGTAATCGCAGTTCGAACTGGAGCTATCAGTTGAGCCTCCATCACTGGTCTCAGACAAGTGCTGGGAGCGCTTGCCGTGGCAGCCACCATTGCCGTTGCCRCTGCTGCTGCTGTTGTTTGAGGATAATTCGTCCTTCTCCGATATGGATGAGTTGCGTGCACGTAGCTTCGACTCTGGTATAATGTTAGACAAGCTCAATTCGCTGTTAGAAAAAAGTATCAATAACGTACAGAAAATAATACAAATGTAACATGAATTCGAAAATATGTTCTGGCTTACTGGAGCGATAAATTGATTGAGCTATGGTTGTCTTGATTCTTTTCTATATCGGTCAGCTCGTTGGCCAGCTTGTATATCCATTCGCATATAACGCCCTGATCGATGGTCGAGAACTCCTCAAAATAGGCGCCCATCATCTCAACGAAACCCTCAACATCAAAGCACGGATCCTGCGAGGCCTCCTCCAATATTGATATGATATAGGAAAGGACAATCTCATCCACAACACTGAAGTCGGCACCTGGTATATGTGCGCTGACAAACTGGACAAGACTTCGCTTCACCATCTCGTGTTGCTTTTCCAAATTGGTCATGATTTCACTACTTTTTCTATTACTGACTTAATTCGAGTTGTTTGGGTTTTCTCGTTTGTTCGGCGAATTTCGTTTAGCTGGTTTGCCTATTATTTCTGTAAAGCAGATATATAGATATTGAATATGTATGTATCATTGTGCGTGTGCATGTGTAGGGAAGTCGACACCCGACGTTGTTATAATTATTGCAAACTGTGTCGGTTAGTTTATTGAGGCTAAAACATTTTTATATTGGTGCAACTTTAAAACAAACTTGAAATGAGAATTCGTTTTAAATAGCGTACTTTTTGCTTGCTGCGCCTTTCTTTTGCTGCTGCTGCTGCTTCTTCTTCTTTTCAATCAATAATACTTTTGCAGCGCAATTGTGACGAGTATTATCGTTATCGAGAGAAAAATACTGCACACAACAACTATCGATATAATACCACATTCGCGTGTACAATTTGAATGACAATAGAATACAATTAATTAAGCTATAAATGTTATACAAGTAAACAATGTTATTATATTCATGATTTATTTAAAACCGTATTTTTGTTTTGAGAAAAGTTTGATATAAAGCGTTTGATAATAAAGATTTGTTTTTGAATGTGGTTGTCATATTACTGAGAGGCTTATGATCTTTTCTATTTAAGTAGTAGCACCAACCACAGTGTGGTTAGTGGTAGTAGTCGGCTAAATTTGATATTTAATTGTATATATTTTATTAAATATTCTGTAATGTATTATAACACACTACGGATATGTGAATAAGAAGAGAAGAGAAGAGAGAAGAGAAATTTTATAACATTTTATTATTAGTTAAAATGTATACATATAATATGAAATTGAAATGATTTTACACAAACTTACTACTTATCCGAGAAATTCTCTGGAATGATTGTAATCAGTGAATCTCTCCTATGCCGCCACCGTTTATTCAATTCAGCAACTATCGATATTTGTGATGTATATTGTTAGAGGATAGTTGAATAGCGCACTGATGTTTATTTATTATTTTACAGCACTATAAATAAGTAATTGCAATTCAAATGTATATAAATGGGCAGTTGGAATATTATGCACCTGCCTAATAGGGTTACGTATATAAAATACCTACTACAGGATGTCTCAGAAATTGACTGTTTTTGCAGTACCCATCAGTGTAATGCAAAGGCAGAGTTTATACATGCATATATAGGAAAGACGAAACCAGGTCAAAGTTTTGGCAAAGTCAAGATATCGTTCTGAGCCACATTTATCGCGGCCAAGGGGCTGCTGAACTGGTCGCGTTTGCCTCAGTATTGGTATTAGCTGGTAGCGGTAAACTTCATTTTATTGAACGATGATAGTATTTATATTATATTGAAGTTCAAGGTTACAATCGCTGCCGAACAAAAGAGAATCGAGCGAGAGAAGCACTAATTAGTAATCACGCGAAACGCATGATAATGATAAAGCATACTAAATATATGTAAATGCAAATTGGTTTTGAAACATGTATTTTTTAACATAAGACCCGGAAGCACGCTTACTGTCGATGTTTTACTCGCAAGACAGTTGAATTACCTATATGGAGTAGAGTAAATATTAGCCCATGTAGTTAACAGTTGGATTTTTGGGAAAGCTCTGACCGATCTGACTGATGAGCTATTTTTCCCATAAGCGAAATGTGTTAACACGTTTCGAATTTTTGCGTAATTTCTCGTTAAATACCTCAATGGAGCGGAGCCAGCCGCATGTCATAAGAGCTGCCTTTTTAGTTCGTGCACTGTTTTTTATTTTTTTTATTTTGTACAATTTGTTTTGCCGTGACAATGATAATAAATCAATTAGTTGGAAGCTTTTTTTTTATGC